TGAATGCTTGGTATTGCATCATCAGGGAACAGGGTGGAAGGACATTAAATAAAATACTACTGGAGATGTGTGTTCTTAATTGCAAATAGCAGAAGCAAAAGCTAACCAGTTTGAAGGGATACTAAAATATATCTCAGAATCCAAAGAATAGTTGAACATATGGCCAAGCTTTAAGAACAGTAAGAACTGGTTCCAAAGTCTTCAGTAGTATGAGTTTAAGCCCCTCTGGTTCAGAGTTCTGCCATGCCATTCAGTGATTGCCAGTGTGATTCTCTAAATTGAAAATCCTAGTTCAGAGAGATTAAGGACCCAGAGCTCTTACCTTCATGCCTCCTTTCCTCCTAGTCTGTATCTCACCTTTTTTAACAAGACCTCTTCAACACCTTTGTTTTTGCTTTTTTTTCTAGAAAACTTTTCCTGATCTCAAGCTAGACACATTCTGTTCTTTTTTTAAAAAAAAATCTTAATACTCTGTTTCTTTATAACTCTTAGCATATTCAGTTTTGTACAAGAGGATCCCACATGGCCGATGGGCATCACTTAGATTAAAAGTAGAGAGTCGTAGAAAATGATATGACCCTGCAATCCTAAATGCCTTAAATATTTTCTCTTAAACTGTATGAGTGTGCCTTGAATCACCAGTGACACACAGGGCAAGACTTTGCTTTGACCATGTGCTGCTGATTAAATATCAGTTTGCTCTTTCTTTCTTTTTGAGAATTAAACCTGTAACTAGGTTTAGATTTTTCATTTTTCTTTCTTTTTAAAGAACTTAGACACTGTGAAACAATAAGAATTCATCATTTTCTTAGACTCTGTGCTTTTCCTCGGTTTTTTTTCCAAGTTTCCCATCTCTATTTAATTTGATTGTATTTTTTTGTTGCTGTTAGCAGCTCACCTTTATAGAAGTCTTAAAGCATTCAGCCTAGTATTCAACATATATTTTCCCCCTGTGCTCATAATTCCTTGGAGTGTGTAATAAACACCCAAAGAGCATAATTACTTAGTGATGCCAGCATCAAAAAAAGTCCTTATTCATAGTCTGAGCAGAAGTGTGCAGGAGTACTAGGATTACTATCCGCTGGGTATAGTGAACACGAATGTGTTGTGGTGAGAACAGAGTTGGAAGGCTTTAAAAAAGAAAATGTGCAAATTATGTCTAGGAGATAGTACTGTCAGTAAATTGAGGAGAAGATAAGTGAAGAGGTGTATGAGATAATTGAAGAGCCATCAATTGATGGGGGGGAATCATTGCTGCTTATTGATTAAGACTTCTACTTAAAAAGGAAATTATTTTAGGTGTGAAAAGGAATAGAGGTATGGTATGATAGAAAATAATGCTATGGAGAAGTGAATGTTAATTGCTTTGTGTTGAATGAGTGACTTTGACTGAAGGAAGAATCTAAGAACGAGGCTGGGTTGAATAGGCAAGTGGTGTGGTGTGTTCTGTTTACCCTTCAAGGGTCACATGGAGAAGAAGGCTGAGAGTAGAAACATTTACCTGAAAGTTATATTTACTCTATCCGTGATCTGTTGTTGTTAAGTGCCATAGAGTCATAGGCAACTCATAGCGACCCTATGAACGAAAACCCTGGACACTTGTGTGACTTTCCTCCCTTCTCCAGGTTCATAGGGTTTCCGGAGGCAAGGTATTACGGAAGTGGATGCCACTCCTGCTTCCAACCATGATTTAGTATTCATTATTAATAAACACATAAATATTCTAGATTTATTTTAAAAGACTATTTCAGACGTAAGCCTATCCCATGTACTTAAGAAACTTTATACATTAAATTTCTCAAATTTGTATATTATTTGGATAACTAAAGTAGGAAGAGGGGTCAGTGTGGGTCAGTTTTGACTTGACAGCACACAGTGACAACAAGGAAGACTGAGGAATTTTCCTAGCTGATCCTGTTGACTTCAGTAGAGAGGCGATTTGGTTTTGCTCCTAGAAAATTAACATTTTATTTGTTAAAAGTCATGACTCAGAGGAAATTATGTGTAGATTTTGAGTGGTAACTGACTCCTAGCAGATCTTCCCCACAGTTTTTCAGACACAGTAGGTCTCATAGGAGGAGTCTCTCTCCCCATCTTCTCTCATGGATCTGCTGGTAGTTTTGAACCAATGGAGAGGCACCATGTTTGAGGGACTTTACCACTCCCTATGGAGTGGGCCACCAGAGCTCCTGAGTTTGCATCTTATTCTTATGACCCTGGCACTCTTAGTATTCCCTTTCTGGCATATTTTTGGTGTGAAATAGGCATTCCCTTACTAGCCATTGCAAGCCTGAGCTTGAACATTGTTGACTGTGTTGTCTTGAGGAACCTGGAAACATACACAGTGTGATTCTGATAAGTATTTCAGAGTCTCCTAGATTTTGCAGGAGTCCTGGTAGTGCATCTTTCCATGTCTGGGAGAAAGACCTGGTATCTGCTTCCATACATATTACAGCCAAAAAGACCCTATGGGACAGTTCTACTCTGTCACATGGAGAAGTCACTGTGAGGGCAAGTTGACTTGACACAAGAATACAGATTTTGAGATAAAAATTTTAGTAGGTTGCCATAAGGTTTTCTAACATAAATTTTTATTTACATAAATGAGTACGTGTGTGTGTGTAAAAATTATATGTGTTTTTAAATATATATATTTTCAATCAGTTTTGCATTTGGGGCCATTTCTCTTTCTCCCTGAGTGCTCCTTTTTTATAATAAACTTTTTTTAATTAATTTTAATGAAAGTTTACAGAGACTTAGAATTTCCATTCATTCATTCATTCATTGCTGCACTCTTCTCCCTGCCCACCCTTTTCCCCCGATTTGCTCATCTCTTTGAAAAGTAAAAGAAAAATTCTTTCATTGTTATACATCCCTCCCTCCAAGGCCACTCCAGTATGCAGCCTTCATTCTGGACTCCTGTCAGGACAATAATACGGACTCATATATCCCTTTTAAACAGTTCTCTCCCTCATCTGTTTCAGTGCAGCATACATTATTTTTCCCCTTTCTCAGTTATCCCTCTACCCTGATGTCAGTCCTGTTTTACAACAGTGGCATTCCGCAATATTTGTCCTTTTGTGACTGAGATATTTCACGCAGCATAATGTCCTTCAGGGTTACCCATTTTGTATAATATTCCATAAGTTCCTTATTATTCAGTGCAGCATATTGTGTAATATACCACAGCTTCTCTATCCATTTGTTTGTTGATGGACACTTAAGTTGTTTCCAACTCTTTGCTGTTGCAGACAAAGCCGCAGTTAACATGGGTGTGCATATATCTGCTTGGGTGGCAGTTATGGTTTCTTTAGGGTAAATTACAAGTAGTAGAATTGCAGGATCAAATGGTGTTTCTATTTGCAACTTCTTGAGAAAGTGCCATACAGCCTTCCATAGTGGTTGCACTATTTTATACTCCCACCAACAATGAATAAGGGTTCCAGTCTTTCCACAACCTTGCCAGCATTTTATCTTTCCTTTAAATTTGATGTTTGATTTAAATTTTGCTATTCTTACTGGGGTGAGATGATATCTCATAGTTGCTTTGATTAGCATCTCTCTTAGAGGTGCTAATTTGAACATTTCTTCATGTGTTTGTTGGCCATCTGAATGTCTTCTTTGGTGAAGTGTCTGTTAATATCCTGTGCCCATTTTTCAAGTGAGTTATTTACCTTTATCTTGTTGTGGTGCCCAAGTATTCTATAAATTCTAGATATCAGTCCCTTATCTGACATGTCATTACCACATATTTTTTCCCAGTCTGTGGCTTCCCTTTTTACCCTGTTGGAGAAGTTTATGGATGTGCATCCCTTGCTCCTTTTTAGATAGTTTTATATTTTAATCATCTCTTATTCTAAAATGCTTACATGATGTCCTCCTATACATATTGCTGGTGGAGCAAATAAAGCTATGCTGAAGAAATTAATTGTAAATGCATTGTGATGAGCCATGGGATTTCCTGACTTTCTTCTTAGCACTTGGATGAATTTTCACAGAAATGTGATTAAATTCCTTGTTCCTTGCCATGGTAGTACATTTCAAGTCTGTAATGAATCTGGTGCCATCAAGGGTCATGCCTTTAAGTGCTTTCAAATAAGATCATATGCATCAAATGTTTGGTGTCTTGTAGGCGCACAGAAATTCTGGCTTTGTTCCCTTTTCTGCTTTTCAGAAGCATGGATTTTTGTTATGTTTTGTTTGTCTTGGGTTTTGGGGGTTTTTTTTGAGTGGTTATGTTTTGTTTGTCTTGGGTTTTGGGGGTTTTTTTTGAGTGGTTATGTTTTGTTTGTCTTGGGTTTGGGGGGTTTTTTTGAGTGGTTGGTATTAGTGCTCCTGTTAAAATTCTAATGGTGAGGGGGAAATGCCCTCCTATTGATGGCACCTAACAACAAAAACAATTTGGACAGATATTCATAGTCTTTAGAAGTTCCAGTTTTGACACACCATATTTGTAATTATGTAAATTGGTAAAACAGAAGTCAGAGCAATTAGTAGCTTGAACCTAGTGCCTAGTATAAAGTAGATAATGACACCCCCACCCCCCAGCTTCACAATACTTGTTGGGACTGGCAGTCCTACAGTGAAATGGAATTTTACTTGCCCTTGTATGTGTTTGTGCACATATGCGCACAAACTTTTGTTTTAGATTGGCAGGGTTTTTTCACAAGTAACCTCTGTCTCCACACCCTTCATATTTTTAAATATTTGATTTCATGCCCTTTTAATTCACTTTATGTATAAAGAGCTAAGCACTGGAAAGCTGTTCTTGGCAAGGAACTTTGGCAGCCCAAATAAACAGACCTGACAGCAGCCTAGTTACTGGCCAAGAACAAGGTTTCTCTATTCTGACCAGTTCTGCTGAACATTTAATACTACGCCTTTTGTTTCCTTGATCTTATTATTAATTATATTTAATTACTGTATTACTTATAGTAGCTGGGTCAAAAGAGAATGTTGAAAATTTCCAGTATAACGTTACTTTTTTCTTTCTATTCAAGATAAACTTTCATTGGAAGGAATAGTGGTACAAAGAGCTGAATGTCGACCTGCTGCCAGTGAAAACTACATGAGATTAAAAAGGTTAGTGATTTTACATTGTATCATGTTTACTTTTAGGAACTGAGATACATGCGTTAGACTTCTAACATCTGCATGAAAATGGTAGGTATTATTCAGAGTGCTTGTAAGACTGTTGTTTCAAAAGCCAAGGAACCTGGGCAGTTTGAGGTATTTTAAGTTATTGGATTAATAAATCTTGAAATTGACTTTTTTTCTTAGCACCTATTCTGTTGGTCATTTAAATCTTGATTCTTTAATGAAATACATTAAAATCTTCATATTCTTTCATTTTCCCATCATGAACATGTGTCTCATATACACTGTATAAAGTAATCAAATTTTTAAACATTGAAGAAATACACATATTTCCAGATTTATATATAGTGTATTTCAGCCTCATATAATTTATAATTATAAATTCATTTAATACTCATCCAAGTGATTTATAAGGAGCTAAGGAAACAGTGAACAAAACAAACAAAAATTCCTGCCCTCATGGAGCTTATACTTTAATGGATTGTGGGGGACACTAACCTGGTGGCCAAGAGCATGCCACCCAAAACCCAGCTAGAGCCTCCCGTATCACCAGCATTCTCATCTGTCAAAGATCCCAGCACAGCTGGATCGTCTCTCAATTTCATACTATCTTTTAAATTCTTCCTCTTTGCTCAGTTAGATTGAGTTTTATCTCTCAGGAGTGAATCAAAAAGTCTAGTTTCCTTGACCAATAATTCCTCTAATTTAAATGCCCCCTCAGGGCAAGTAAAAAGATAACAGCGAAAATGAATTTCCCCCCCCCCAAAAAAATAGCTTTGGAATACAGGTAAATGTTGCTTTGTTTTTAGCCTATAAACTTATTCTATGATCGAGATGTTTTTGAAGATTTATTATCTTCAAGTAATTGCTGTAAACTAAGAAAATGAAAAAAGTGCTTGCTGGTTTAATTACTAAGACCTTTTACTGTTTCAATTTTTCTTAAAGATTTTCTACAGATTTCTAATGGTGGGCTTGGAAATCATTTATATGCTTTTGGAATGGCTGCTTTTGGCTTACAACAGCAAAAATTGTTCATGTTTCTAGAGCAATAAAAGAGCAGCATGTCTGTATTTCAGTCTTCATTTACAAAATCTGGGGAGCAGGTGGAGTTTGAGAGATGTCCATCATGGGAGTTTTATAAAGTAGATGATACGTGTGAAATACTTGAGGTCTGAGATTTTCTTTTGACTAGATAGAAAAACTGAGGGTGAGAACATTGTAAATATCTCTATATAGGAAAATAAAGTTTATAACCTGAAGTGCAGGATGTATATGAGAGAATTGCAAAGTGTTCAGCTCCTGAACTCTAAATTCATATCTAAAACCGTGCTTGGGTGGATATTAAACAATTCAGAATGTCAAGTACTGACTTCCCAGGCTTCACCCCAGTACTCATTCCACTAGGAGTCTTTTTCATCTGTTACTGCCAATTCTGTCCTCCCTTCTCTCCAGCCTAAACCCTGGGTTACATTTTTTGAGTCCTCTGTCACATCCCACATCCAGCCCGTCAGAGAATCGTATGTGTGCACACAGCGTGGACACACATATGTGCACCCACATTTTTTTCCTCTCCCCCCACCCCGCACCCTCTTGTGCCTAAAATAGTGCTAGACACATACACCCAATGCCATGGAGTCAGTTTTGACTCTTGTGATTTACCATGGGTTTCCAAAGGCTCTGGGAGGAGGCTGCCCACTTTTTCCCTGCAGTGTGGCTGGAGAGTTTGAACCGTCAGCATTCACTTAGTATCTTCCTTCCATGCAGGTAGAAGGCATAGTAGAGTGAATCAATGGCAAGAGAGATATAATTTGAAAAGTAGACTGTCATTAATTGTTAAATAGTCTTACATGCTTCAGAAATTTGTACCTTGTTTACTACAGCTATTAGTGAGGTGCCTAAGAATGCTAAGCAGGATAAAAATAGGTTTATCTCCTCTCTAAAATTGTCCCCAAAGAATATTTGAATGACTAAAATAAGGTTGTTATTGTTATTAATATGTACCGTTAAGTTGTATCCAACTCACAGCTGACCTTTCAGCAGGTTTTTAGTGACTGTAAATCATGAGGGAGATTGCCCATCTTCTTCCTGCAGAGCAACTGGTAGATTTGAACCACATGCCTTCAGGTTGGCAGTGTAGCCCCTTACCACTAGGCCACCAAAGCTCTCTGTACTGTGGTATTTCTAGTCAAAGGGAAATAAAGAAAAGCCTAGATATTTATGATAATCAGACGTAGGATCAGTAGGCTTTTATGAACTTGCTCAGACTCCTCTGGTTCTAGGATGAAAGATGTTGTGATTGTTAGTGACTCGGTGGCTTGGACCATCCCCCATTGTGGGTCTCTAGATTGGCCCCAAAGTGTTTTCTGTCATGAGCACTGGTGGCCTAGTGGCTAGAAGCTACAGTGCAATCCCAGAGGCACGCAGTTTGAATCTACCAGCTGCCCAGCTGCTCCATGGGAGAAAGATGGAGTTTCCTCCTGTGCCACTAACTGCCTCTGAAAACCCACCAAGGGTCAGCTATAGGTCGGTTCTGACTCGACGATATACAATAAAGTGTTTCCCATCATGAGAGAAGAGATCGTTATTTAAATCTGAGTTGACAGTTTATATAAAATAGTTTAAAAAGCAGAAAGTATTTAAATAACAAGAATATTACTCTGGTGGCCTACTGGTAAGGAGCTGTGCTGTTAACCCAAAGGCATACAGTTGGAACCAATCAGCTGCTTTGTAGGAGAAAAACTGTATTATAGGGAGGAACAGAAGGGTAATAAAGGCAAGTATCCAGAAGTAGGTGACATTAGAGTAAAAGCCTTAGAGCAGAATAGGTAACCCTGTATCTAAGATCTTATAACTAACTGCTCAAAATTTTTCCAGAAGAGGTCCTTCCAACTGCCTACTTAAGTGTTTTGATATTATGGCTTGTCTCATTTTTTTAAAAAATTCTTTTCATCCAGGTTTTTTTAATGTAAATATTAAAATTTATCATACTGCAGAGTTTTACCAACTAACTTTTTGGATGGTATGTTTGTATTAGAGGGGTATGCAAAGTAATAAAGATTTTTAAAAAAATCAACAGTAGTTTGTGTGAGTCATCCATCTGATCTAGGATCTTCCTCTCCTGTGCTCTCCCTCCACCCTACCAAGCATGATGTACTTATCAAAAGGGCTGATCCTTCCTGGTAATATGCCCAGAGTATGTCAGATGGAGCTTTAAAATCCTTGCCTCCGATGAGCAATTTGGTTTCACCTTCTCCAGGGCAGACCTGTTTGTTCTCTTGGCTGTCTGGCAAGTCTATGGTATATTCTATACTCTTCTCCAGCACCACACCTTAAAGACATCAATTCTGTTTCTGTCATTCTTCGTAGTAAGTAATTGCAAAGACTGTGGCCTGGATCAGGTGTACCTTAGTCTCTAGACTGACATCATTGTTCTCTGGAGAGTAGGTTGTCCTAATACAATATATCTTTTGGTTTCCTGACTGCTGATGCTAAGAGTGTTGATTGTTAGTCATTGAGATTGCTAACAATCTCAATCGCTTCTCCATCTCTCACGGTGTTGCCGTTGACCTAGTGATGACAGTCTTTCTTGATGTTGAGCTTCAATCCATATTAAAGACTGCCATCCTTGACCTTCTACAGTACATACTTTAGAACTTCCTCAGTTTTGGCAAGAAGGTCGTATCTGTTAGGTAGAAAGTTAAGTTACAGTAGTACAGAAATATGGACATTAACACCAGTGTCTTTTTCTGTTTAGAAACTCATTTCACATGTGTCTGTGTCATTTATAAATCTTGCTTTGAGAGATGGAAGGTGATAAACACCCTCATCAACAATAGAAACTTTTTAAGAGTATAAAAGAGGCAATGAGTCATCTTCCATTGACAGAGAATTAGAATAGAAAGACTTCTGTATCAGAAAAGGCCCTTTTTGTGCTGATTTTAAGTATGTAAGATTTTGCTGTATTATATTTTACAACTAATAGCAGCTAAGCTTTATTCATAAAAATATAAATGATTATGATACAAAGTGTATATTTATTGCTAAATAATGTTATTTAAGAATGTTCTGTTTCAGTTTGTCGTTGTTAGGTGCCATTGAGTCAAGTAAGACTCTCCATGTCCTTTGAGCCACTGATCTGAATCCTGTCCTACCTTGAGCCATCTTCACCATCTCTGAGTTTTAATATAGTTTTAGTGTTAAATTCTTATTACTAGCTAGATTATATGAAAGTTATAACTCATAATAATTATATTCATTAGGAGCAGGAATGGCATCCACTTCCATAATAGCTTGCCTCTGGAAACTCTATGAACCTGGAGAAAGGATGAAAGTTATACAGGTGTCCAGGACTTTCGTTCATAGGATCGCTATGAGTCACCTACGACTCGACAGCACTTAACAATTATATTCAGAATTCATTTGAATAATGATAGACATTGGATACATATCATTAGTATATTAAATCACAGAAATACTTAAAACTCTTATTGATAAAATTCAAGATAAGAAAGAGATGGATTTTCTAATGTAATTTATCTTGTCTGGTACTATAACATAATTTAAACTTGCAAGAATCCAGTTGTCCATGAAAAGAACAAGGAAAAATAAAAACTTACTTTATTTGCTCATCTTAAAATTCTAGCAATCTCTTTGTGTAAAGAAAAAAAAATTACTCCATCTGATTGATTAACAATCATCTTGTTAGGAATTTATTTTTAATTGGTAAAAGCAAAGGCATTTGACTGTGTAGATCACAACAGTTTGTGGCTAACTTTGAGGAAAGTGGTAATCTCAGAACATTGACTGCTTATGCGAAACCTATACTTGGACCAGAAAGCAGTTCTCAGAACAGAGCAGGGAAACACTGTATGGTTCAAAATCAGCAAAGGAGTGTGTCAGGAATGCATCCTGTCTCCATACCTGTTCAATCTATAT